AATTAATTGGAATTTTTCACACACAAGCCTTGCTATATGAGCTCTCAAAGCATATAAAAATTATACGGCTTAAATGTGAAGTTGGGTGCAAAAGAATACAATTAAATCCTCTGTCGGGAAAAAACGAAATGACTTTCCGAACAACCGTATACATTTATAGTCACTTTTGAATCTTCGGGTAACATCCTCAGCCGTACATTTATCGAAGAAAACTTTCGGGATTGTACTTTAAATAAAATAGCGTTTGGACAATTAAAATGGTACGAAGGAAGAGCATGTAAGAAGAGTGTGACTGTAGATGAAAAAGTGTTTTCCTTTTTAATATTTTTCCTGATTGCTTTATAGCATTGGATGAATTTGCTTTTTTTATGTTTTATGGAAATATCCTGACGTTTACGTACAATTAATATTTTTAACGTAAGCTTACATGTAGAAAATTAAATTCAAAATATTGTTCAAGGTTAATTGCAACCAAACGAATGGAAAGGTTTACCATGACTGTCTCAAAAAATGTGCCTACCTACATAAAGAATGAAACCTACATAATATTGTGAAAATGAAAGTGTACTTTTTGAAGCAAATTAACACAATAGCTACGTGAAATTATTTTTTATTAATTAGGTTTTTCTTTTAAGCAGGTTAAGGATTAAGTACAAGACTAAGATCGAGTTTGGTCGTAACTAATAAGAAAGTAATTTAGTTATTATCATGTTCAATAATAATTTTATTTTTACCATTTCAATATTGTTATTGTATTCGTTAATTTAGTTTCTTTTTGTTTCAGATTTGGAAACAAAAATTTGGTCTTGATATTTTTACCACATTTAATGGAAAACTGATGTGATTCCGGCCCACCACAAGTTGGAGCTATTGTGATTAAGTGAGTATCACAATAATTGTTCTTTTTACGTGTTAGATCACTTTTTCTATTTTTTAATTACACAATAACTATTAAGCATGCAATTATTTCCTTTCTTTTTTGTCTATTAAAATTTCCAAAAAAAGCGTGAATAGTTCTATTTACGTAAATATTTGATAACGCGGTCAAGAGGAATTTTTAAAAAAAGATATGAAGGGAAAGCTAATGGGGAAAATGATACAAGGGACGAAATTGTATTTGTAGAACTTTTTATTGATACCTACTATCACATTCATTTCGATCTTTTACAAGTGGGTAGTGAATATGAAAATATGAAACACATAAGTGCAGTTTTCAGAATCAGTTTCATTATTCCTTATAANCTAATGGGGAAAATGATACAAGGGACGAAATTGTATTTGTAGAACTTTTTATTGATACCTACTATCACATTCATTTCGATCTTTTACAAGTGGGTGGGTAGTGAATATGAAAATATGAAACACATAAGTGCAGTTTTCAGAATCAGTTTCATTATTCCTTATAATTAAAAAAAAAAAACAAATTTGTAATTTACTACTTCATTAAGACAAGATAAGATGAACATAATTAAATTTTTTAGTTTTCAAACTTTTTAAAATTTTTAATTTTACATTTCAGTCAATAACTAATATTTCCAGAAACACAATCTTTTCTTATTGTTTTGGATTACCATAATTAACATCCATTTTTTTCTCTGTCAGTGATGATCAAAGCAAAACCAAGACTGTTCAAGTCTTGGTATTGGTCTTACTTATTCGGTCTTGCGCAAATACTGTTGGTCTTGGTGATACAGTTTCGATGCTGATTTTGGTTTTGCTTTTTGAATTTCATACGCTTTTTTAATAATTATTTTAAGCACAAATTTTTCTATTTACCGACACGATAATCCAGATATAGGAACAAAGAACACTTTTTTCGAGGACATTCTTGTAAATCCCTTTTCTCAAACAATAGTAAAGTTTCTTTCATTTGCATTTAATATTAAAAAAAAGTGTTAGGAAAGCAAACTGAAAAATTTAAATTCAAAAAATATTTTGTTCCAGGGAACGTTCCTTCAAATAGTTTAACTCAAAAATCCATCGGAAGTAATAATTTTTTGTTTAGTTATGCGTATTTGGTCTTTGTCTTGTATATTTAGTCTTGGTCTTGCGAAATTGACCAAGTCCGCGACTGTAAAATGAAGACTAATTCTGTGCATATTTGGAAGTAAATTTTCTTTCTTTTATGGATAATTAAATGAAGTATTTAGTAATTTTGAGATTAAAATAAATCGTTTATTTCTCGAGTTTTTTGTTTAAAATTTTCAGAAAATCTTACTCTTCAAATTTCCACTGGGGTGGTGTTCATATTTGTATATATACAAATTAGATATGACTTTAAACAGATTTACTTTTGATTAAATAAAATTCACCTATTACAGGATGTGATGGGTAGAGGCAGCAAATAGTAGGAAGCAGAGGTAACGCCTTTTGACAGGTTTCGATTCGACCTGGAGTCTATCCCTTCTATTCGAATGCAACATCCAAGAAAACACTACCTTCCATTTCCCGCTGGAACGAAGCCGAAGTCTTGCTTGTCTAATTCCAGACGACGTAAGGCAAATGAATTTTATCAAGGGAGGATAATTTTGATCCAAATTGAACTCCAGAATGAGTAAAAATGCATTTGTATAATATGTATGTATGTATGTATTTATATGTGCATTTTATTAAATAAAAAGTTATTTAGTTTTAATATTTCATGTAACAGAAATTAAAACTGGAAAAAATGTTTACCACAAGAGGTAATTGTTTAATATGAAAGCTTTCTTTAGATACATACCATATAACAGGAAATCTAAGGAAGGTTAAGCCATTTTTTCTTGATTTTAATGTGAATTGTAAAATAACTTTGTACAAAAGTTGTAGGGTAGTTATGCAGAACAGAAAACAGGACGAAATATTTTGTAACATTTTAAAATTTTTGATGGGAGTCGCCAAGAGGGGCAGGGAGGGCAGCTCCCTAACATTTTAAAAATATTTAATTAAATTGTAAATTTTGTGACACACGTATGCACATGAGTATTACATGTTGAATCAAACAAAATTCCACAAAACGTTGTGTGGAATTTTGGGGTTTAGGTGCTTAATATTAAACACTAGAGTGAAATTAAATTAAATTAATGGGGAAAGGTTGTAGCTACTACCATCCCCACCGGGAATCGAACCCGGGTGCTCCTGGTTTTTATGCTTAAACTACAAGTTATTGTTATCACCTCTCGCAGCTTAGTAGTAGGGTATTCGTGCGTAAAAACCAGGGGGTTCGGGTTCGATCCCCGGCGACGGTGTAACAACAACAACAATTTTTTCCCATTTATTTGGGGTAATATATTAAGGTTTATTTATTTTTGTAAGTAAAATATTTAGCTAAAAACAGGATAAAATATAATGATTTTTAAAACCGTCAAAAATCGTGCTTGTTGATACTACAGCGGAACAGAAAAGAAATAAAATAAAACCGAAAAAATTCAAAATCCAATCAATAATGACAAAATTTAACGATTTATAAAACGCTAAAAATCAAATATAATCTTACTCAATTTATTGATAAATTTGCATGAAAAAAATTAAATTTGGTTGGTCGAAGCCACATGGACTTTAAAATAAAATAAAACTGAAAAAAAATTAAAACTCCACTAAGAATGACAAATTTTAACCATTTTCAAAAATGTCAAAATCATGCACGCCTTAAAATTGTAAAAATATTTTATTTCTTGTCTGATTTTTAAACAGATGTTGGGGATGTTGTAAAGGATTGAAACTTACATATTGTATTTAGATATTATATTTATAATTTAAATTTTTTATCTGCTCTCCCGGCCCTTTTTGGTTTTTAAAATTAAAATTAATTATTCTCTATTAACTACAGGTAATTAAAAAATTTATATGTCAGTAAAAAGCGTTAAAAGATTTTACTTCCAT